GAATCCACCAGATGCTCTGCTGGAGAAGGAGGGACAATCTCCTCCTGTACCAGTCAGATCCGATTTGACGGTACACACACAAAAAAATAATTAAAAAAAAAAAATTCTTCCATAATTTTGCAGAATTAAACTGTGAACAATAGCTACTTCTAGACATAATAAGGATACGGAATCAAGTCTTCTTTCTTGAACTGCTGTCTGCTGAGGGTTTCCATACACGCTTACATGAGTTAAATGTGTCTTCTGTGAGTCTGTAGACTTGGCTCTATGATAAGAATCAATGGGCACACTTCTCCATAAAAGTTTGTGTTTAAGTCCTTAGGAAAAGCCTGCACTATTTTCACAGATGCCTTCATTCATTCTTCATCAGGGAAGAACACATTGTTTAAGAAGGAAATTCTAGTTAAAGTACTCCACAGAATTTTGCTCTTTTTCATGCAAGATTCAAGTATGTCGATAATGGAGTATTATGTGGTTCCTCAAAATTGATCTCAGATCTTCAGTATTTCGGGCACACTTCTGTCATGTCATTCCCTTTCCCGATGCTTCTGCAGTGGTGAAGTGCCTGATTATCAGCACTGGGCGGGATCTTACTACGTTTTCAAAATTTACTCTTAAATGATAAATGTCCTACTAAGGATTGGCCACGGTGTGTGCAAGTCTTTACATTTCCCTCCTGAATCTTGGACAGTATGAGTCCTTTGATAAAAATCCGGCAATATTTCATTCCATATAACCAACACACATATTCTGCATTCTACACTGTGTTGGCAATGTTTTCGGCTTCTCTTTCAAGATCTTTGTGTCTGGTCTTCAGCAATATTTTCTAAGGCATCTGGAATCTAGGTGAATGATTCCAGGACTGCACTCGTTTCCACCGCCTATGTGTTCCCACACGCACTGGAAAGTACTCAGCCCTGGCCTGCATGTTTTAGGAACTTCCCAGCGGGAAGTGGTGTTGCTGCTGGCGTCAGTGAGTGCATTTCGACTCATGGCTCGCTACCCAGCGTACAACACAGAACAATGACCACTGTGTTTTAACCTCCCGCTGCATTCATTTCATCTTTCTCAACTCCTTTTCTCCCAAGCATGATGTCCTTCTCTAATGACTGGTCTCTCCTGGTAACACGTGCAAAGGACATGAAATGTCTCACCATCCTCCCTTCTAAGATCCAACATTCTCCATCCAACAGCTCCCTTTAAACCCTACAAAGGGGCCCCCTCCACTGCACATGTTCTGTCATTCCCCAACCTCTCCACACCTTCTCATCTATACATGGATGACCAACAGCACCTAACTGCTGGAGTTTTAACCCAAACATCAAGTCATTGCCTACCTGTCCAAACAACACCATCCCACAGTTAAAGGCTGGACACTTTGCTTAAGGGCACTAGCTGTGTCTACCATTTTAGCACCAGTTATCAGCGTGTGGCCTCGCGCCCCTGGGAGACCCAGAAAAAGTAAATGGATCAAGGGATAAGTACTTGGAGCATCTGTCAGCCAGCTTCTTCAGCAGTAACTGTTATGAAGCAAGTGGCTTTATGACAATTTACTTCACAGCCAAAGTCATAGTCAGTGGGTCTTGGGTCCCAGAGGCTAATGCTGCTCTCACTGCAGTTCTTGGCCTTCACTGACCTGAAAATGCCTTCCCTTCCGCCTCACCCCCTATTTCAAGGCTGGGGAAATCCGTACACACTGGCTCCAAGGGGGTGACCAGCAATGGGAGGTCCTACCTGCATGGGGTCCTGAAAGGCAAATACCGTGGGCACAGCATTGTGCTTCAGGTTTTTGCGGTTCCCAAAGGTGCTGAAGCACTCGGGTCGGAAGTGCTCGGAGCAGATGACCGTGTGCTGCTTGGGCTGGAAGTTGCCCCGGCCGATGTTCAGCACCCATTCCTTCAGCAGTTCCGGGCGGCTGAACGGGAACCTGCGAGGCAGAGAAAGGAGACAGTGGAGGGCTGACGAGGCTGAATCTCCACATTATCCCAGAGGACTTTACCGGACAACTTGAAAAGTTCCGTGACCTTTGTTCAGCGCAACCTGATTCCTGGAAGCTTCTGCTGTGGCCTCAAGGGCATCCCTGAAAGAAAACCTGTGACCAGAAGACTCCAGCCAAGGGCTGCCCGAGGCGATGATGTTTCTGAAGTGTCGTCTGCAGCTGGGCCGCCACCTGTCACTCAAGAGCCTGCTGTGTCCGCCCTGAGTGTGTGGTGCTGGGAAGTACAAGTGAGGAGGACCAACCCCTGCCCTGGTGCAGCCTCCTCTCCAGGAAGGCAGACACTACACCACACAATTGTCGACGGAACCAAATGGTGGGAGCTACCAGGAAGCACTGGGTTGTCAGGGAAGGCCACTGTGAAGAGGATATTTGAGCAGAGGCTGAGGGCAGTGGGCAGGGAACCAGCAGAGCAAAAGCAAGGCGCCATGACCGGGAGGAGCCTGGGACAGAGTGAGCACAGGAACGGAGCTAGAGACAGGTAAGGAAGGCACAGGGGCAGATGGCATGGGGTCCCATGGACCTGAGGCCACACTGGCAGCCAGAGGGCACCTAGGGTCAAGGGGTCAGCAATGGAGATGGGAATCAGGGGGCATGTCTATGGGGGATTTTGACAGGAAGACAGTAAAGTTTGCTGATAGTCACCAAGGAGGAACTGCTGCTGTTGTTAGGTGTAGTCAAGTATGACTCACAGCGACCCTGTGAACAAAAGATCTGAACCCTGTTCTAGCCTGTGCCATCCTCACACTTCGACACTCAAGAGTCCACTGCAGCAATCACCATATCAATCCACCTGGTCAAGGATCTTCCTTTCTTTTGCCAACCCTCCACCCTTCCCAGCATTATGTCCTTCCCAAGGAATAGTCCCTCCTAGCAACATGCCTAAAATATGTGAGGCAAAGCTTCATTCTCGCCTCCAAACAGCACTCTGGCTGCACCCTCTCCAAGACATCTATTTGTTCTCTTGGCCGTACACAGAATGTTCAGTGCTCTTCTCCAACACCATAGCTCAAAGGTTTCAATTCTTTTTCTCTTATTCTTGTCCAGGTCTCTGATACATAGCAAGTGATCAGAAAGAGTATGGCCTGAATCAGATGCACCTTTAGTTAAGGAGGAACTTCTTCTTGTTATGTGCCGTCAAGTTGCTTACCTCTCATAGCAAGCCCATGTAGAACAGCTCTGAATTCTACTCTATCCTGTGCCAACCTTATTGTCTCTGCCACACCTACCCCCGTTACACCAGTCACTGAATCCATCCATCTCATCCAGGGTCTTCCTCTCTTGCACTGTCACTCCACCCTCCCGAGCATGATGTCCTTTCTAAGGACAGGTTCGTACTTGCAACATGCCCAAAGTATGTCAGATGAAGCTTCAAAATCCTTTATTTATCTCCAAGAAGCAGCCTGGTCTCACCCTCTCTACGACAAACTTGTTTGTTCTCCTAGCAGTCCATTATATATTCAATACTCTTCTCCAGCACCACAGTTCAAAGGCATCAATTCTCCTTCTTTTTTTTAAATTTTTTTTTTATTTTATGTGTGTGTGTGTGTACCGTCAAATCAGATCTGACTGGTACAGGAGGAGATTGTCCCTCCTTCTCCAGCACAGCATCTGGTGGATTCGAACCACGCACCTCTGGGATTGCAGTGCAATCAATTCTCCTTCTATCATCCCTAGTCACTGTCTAGCTTTCTGATACATAGCAAGTAATTGTGAAGCTCATGGCCTGGATCAGGTGCACCTGCAAAAATCTCATGTGCTGAAATGGGCTGTAGAAGGGAAATAGTTGGGGGATGGAAAGTTTGTCCTTAGGTATTAGATGTTAAATTTGAGGTGCTTTTTAGATGCGTAAGTGCTGAAGTTGAGTGGGCAGAGGGACCTGCATGTCTGGAGATGCCAACAAGGCATCCCTTCAGCAGCAGCAGTAAGACTATGGCTGGAGTGGTACCACTGTGCTGGGGAACAAGTGTGACAAAGATCGAAGGGCCAGGTCCCAAACCGGAGATGCTCCGAAGTGCCACATTAGAAATGAAGAGGCCTCGGCAAAGCGAACAGCAGGCGTGTGGCAGAGGAAGAGCCATGGTGTCTGCGAGGCCAAGCAGAATGTTTTCAGAGGGTCAGGGATCAGCTGTGGCAAATGCTGCAGAAGTCAGTGAAGGTAAAGACAGAGAAACGACCCCTGGATTTGATAACAGGAGGGTCACCAATGACCCTGACAGAGCCAGTCTATGAGTGTAGTGTGGACAAGGGTTTGAGTAAAATAGGCTTAAGAACACAGGCTATGGTGAGCTCTGGGGTCTAGTGGCAAGAAGGTGCACTGCAATCCCAGAGGTGCACGGTTCAAATCCACCAGATGCTCTGCTGGAGAAGGAGGAACATAAACACACACAAAAAAAATTTTAAAAAATAAATTTTTTTTTAAAAAAAAA